CAAACAGGGCAAAACTCTCTTTAACAACTGCCCTGCTTAGCAACGGAAATTTCAGGCTCCGTTGTGGTCCAGGGCCACCTGCCCATGGATGCAAACTTTGCAATGTACCAAGTGGAAGTGTTAACTCGAAAGAAACGTCGACTAAACCGATGCATTTCACCCCTGGCCCGCGCCCCGCCGCCCCCCCCCCCCCCCCCGGCCTACCTGGGCCTGCAGGACCCGGACCTGGCTGGTGAGGCTCTTCAGGCTGAGCTCCGACTCGGCGGCCTGCAGTGCCGTGCGCTGCAGCTCCTTGGCCAGGCGCTCCGACTCGGCCTTCAGCTCGGCGTTCTCCTTCTCCAGGTGCTCCAGGCCCTTCAGCTTCTGCAGCAGCTCCTGGTTCTGCTGCTTCTTGGCGTCGTAGTGCGTCCTCGCCTTCTCCATCTGTGGGCGCGCGGAAGAGAGGGGCTCTCAGGCTGGGCCTCCAGGGGGAAACCGTCCGGAGCTCCGTCCGTTGACAAAAGGTCTCACTTACTATAGGAGTCCAGTGGACCCCGCAGCCAGCGCAAAGCCGGAACTGGAAATCGCGCACCCCCAAATATAATCCCCCCCCAAAGTCTAACTTTTCCTTTCCTTAGCGGCCTCCACTTGCTGCCCCCCTCCCTCCCCTCCAGGTCCAACCCAATTCAAAGAATATTTTTTTGCTCTCGTTTCAAGTCGAGGTTCCGATCCCGGCCGGTTGGCCTTGAAGCTGCATCTCAGGGAGATACGGCGAACTTTCCGCTTGGAGCCTGCCCCCCCCCCCCATCCAATCCACCCCCCCACACACACACACCCATAGAGGTCATGGAGATTCTCCCTCATCCGGGTCATGTTTGTCCCAAAGGTGCCTCTTTTTTATTTATTTATTTTTTTCCAAGAGGCACCTGGACTTTCTGGTTTTTCTCTGAAGACGTTTCGCTTCTCATCCCAGAAGCTTCCTCAGCTTTGCAAGGAATATCAATCCTTCCCTTCCCCACCATCCAGTCAGAGCTGAAGAAGCTTCTGGGATGAGAAGCAAAACGTCTTCGAAGGAAAACCGGAAAGTCCAGGTGCCTCTGGGAAAAAGCCCCTTGAGGAACCCCCCCCTCCCCAGAGTCTATGGCAGACGGGCACCGAGTGATAGCCCTTCCCTCCCCCTGGCATGGGAGGGAGGGAGGGGAGGAGGAGGACGCAGCCGGGGTCCTAACCTGAGCCTTGTAATGCTCGACGGCCTGTTCCTTCTGCACCAGCTGAGCCTGGAGATCCGCCGTCTTCTCCTTCAGCTGCTTCATCTCCGAACGGAGCCCCTCCTCACGCATCTACAGAGAGAGGGAGACCCACCTCACCGTCTCAAGAGAGGGGAGGCCCCCTTCCTCCCGAGCCCACTGGGTCGCCCTCTGCCCCGGGCCTCTTCTGACATTCCTCCCGCTCCAGGATTCAAGGCTTTAACCTGGCAGGACACCCGCTTGTCCCGCTCAAGATGACGATTTGCTACCAATAAAGGAGAATATTTCTAGCTCAGGGTTGAACGGAGGGGCCCTTGGTGGTCTCTGAACTTGTCTGCTTTCTTGCAGATGTTTCACTATGTGACGAGGTAACAACATCATCAGTGCTAGAAGGGGACAGGGTTTGTGGGGAGGAGGAGGAGGAGGAGGAGGAAGAGGAGGAGGGCGGGGTCTCTGGTGCTCTCTGAGCTGGGTGGTTTTCTTGCAGACATTTCATGACCCAACTAGGGAACAATATCAGCTGCTAGTAGGAGTGCGGCTTGCTCTTCAGTTTATGTTCTGGTGTCTTGCCTGTCTGTGGGTGTGGGGGGGGGGGCAGCCTTAGGGATTCTTTGCTTGGGCTGTTCTCTGATGGCTCTTTGGCAGCTTCTTGGATTGGCGTCTTGCCTATTTGATGGTTGGTCTGAGGTCAACCAACAGCTTTTGGCGGCCACGTTTTTCACGAGCGAAGGCAAACATACTTTGCGTGGCACTGCCCAAAGGCTCCCATACGAGGACAAATCGGGTCTTGTAAAAGTCACTTGGGAGGCAGGAGATGCTCCCTGTGTAGTTTACCCCTCATCCCACGCGTGGATTGTGATTGGGTAGGGCAGGCGGGGAGGAAGAACACGAGTGAGTGGTCAGACGAGGAGACCGGAGCTCATGGGGAGCCTCACATTGCAGTGAACAAGGACATATGTTCAATTTTGCATCTACTACGATTGTTGGCCGAGCAGGGACAAAAATAGCCAGGGAAATGATTGAAGCCTGGGGGAAAAGGAGTGCGGATTTACTGCCGACTTATCAGGTATTTAGGAGCTGAGGGCTTGGAAGAAGCCCAAGGAAAGGAAAGCCCACCGCCAGCCATCCACACACCCATCAGCCAATAGGAAGGCGTCGCATAAATACGGTGCGTAGAACAGCCCAAAGCATAGATTCCAGGAGAGAGAAGGTCCCTGAAGACGAACACTTTCCTCCACAAACCCGAAAGCTCAGAAAGCTAATCCTTCTGAGGTCCCGGGGGATCGACCCAGGTAGGATCTTGTCGTGTTTTTTATTTGCACTTGGGCTCTAATGCTATTTACGCTAGTGTGAACCTCTTGGAACCCTGGCTTGTTCCAAGCCACCCCCCATCCTGGCAACGGGTGGAGTAGAAGGAAGCGTGAGATAAAACTGCGCAAGCTCCACGGACTCCTTTGACCAGGAACTTCTCTCCTGGAGGGCCTCCTGAGGTGGAGGCCAGGTGGAGGTGTGCAAGGGTTCCTGTGCTGGACACCCACCTTTGCTTTCTGCTGGTGGGTCTGGCCGGCCTTCTCTTGCTGGGCCAGCTTCTTTTTCAGCTCATCCACCTGGAGGAGGGGAGAGGAGGAGAAGTCATCCCAAGCCTCCCCCCGGCCCCCAGTGGTGGGGATTCAAATCTTTTTTTTTACTACCGGTCCTGTGGGCGTGGCTTGGTGGGCGTGGCAGGGGAAGGATATACCGCAAAATTTCCCTCCCCACCCCACTAACCTGCTTTCCAGCTCCGTTCTCCCAAATACTCCAAATTTCTG